AACCCCCCCATCCCCAAAAGTTTCTCAGCGGATTTGGGCTGTACTCAGCAAGCGCAGTACAGCTTCCAACTCAGATCTGAAAACACATTAGTGGATGGATGTTTTCTGACTGGTTGGCAGACCGCCGACCGGTCAGCCCTACTGGTCGGCTGCAATACGGTCGGCAGGGATGCAACCATGTAATCAATCTATAACCGATAAATTAGTAAATTATTTTTTATTACTAACACATAAATCAATTTCTGGCTGTGATGGCTGATAACTTGTGGCAAGTTGATAAGGCGCATCACAAGATTCGTAACCCCAAAAAAGTAAACCAACGTAGTGCCAAAACTTGAACCAGTACATGTGTGTATAGCACTCAGTCACCTGCCTGGTGACTGAATGAATGCGGAGACGGTTCAGTATTACGGACACCATATAATATTAAGGCCTATTGTCTCAAACAGAAAAACAGTTGGGAAAAAAAAGAAGAAAAACAGGCTCAGACTCATCAAGCAGGTCAGCTTTCAATTCGGTGCATAGATTAGATCAGGTCTATCTACCATAAAGCCGCAATGGAAGCAAAGGAGTCCCACAATACATGAGCAAGAAAGAAAAACAGAGAGGGACAGAGAGGAGGGGGGTGAGAGAGAGGGACTCTGGTGACAATTGAACACATACCAACCCCAGGGCAAAAGAAAGGATTGAAAAAAAAGAAAAAAATTGACAACCCATGGTCTGTCTCTTATACACATCTAGATGTGTATAAGAGACAGGTGTGTGTGTGTGTGTGTGTGTGTGAAAATTGAGCAGAATGTGACCACTGTCCAGCCAGGGGTGTTTTTCGAACTTCCGGTTTTCAACCTCCGAGGATTCTCCGCCATCCACGTTATTTATGCCCATGGCCGATGATTGGGTTTTGAGTCTTTTGACATATCCTCATTACCCGTGGGAACCGAACCTGGTCCTCTAGATGGATATCATTCATTCATTCCACAGAAAAAAATTGTGATAATTTATTTACCTCTTGCAAACCTGCTCACTTTCCGGACTGGTTGGAACTCCTCTTTCTCAATCTCTACCATCCGCGTCATCCATTGCCATGGCCATTGACTGGCTTTCTACAGACCTTCACTACATGTAGGATTTACAGCGGGACCACGTGGCTGGATCGATGAATATGGTCCATTTTTTCCACATGCACACTGGGGTCATTCACCTGCAAAACAGTCGCCCCTAGTCAAGACCAATGACGCACAAGCCTGCACAAAGGGGTGGCCGGGGGGGGAGAGGGGAGGAGGAGAGAGGGGAGAAGGAGAGAGGGGAGAAGGAGAGAGGGGAGAATGAAGGGAAAAAGGAGAGGGGAGAAGGAGAGAGGGGAGAAGGAGAGAGGGGAGAAGGAGAGAGGGGAGAAGGAGAGAGGGAAGGAGGAGAGAAACAAAATTGACTGAAGAGTCGACGACCTTCTTGAGACATACATACCTCCTGGGTGGAAATCCAAATAGGGAGTGATGTTATACACTTTGCCTTTCAAGACCATCCATGCGTCATCCGGCGACCTGTGTTTCTTGACTTCCTGCATTGTAATTCCACGCCTCGGTGGTTGTCCCTTCAAACCTGCACAACAAGCCCATCCCACTTTCATCTGCTTAGACGCTTCCATCGTCAGTGAAACGAGTCAGCATCAACTCTTCTCTTCTGAATGGGAATCTCGATCATTTCTTCTGAAATGGTTTCCCCCTCCGGCTTCAGTCATGCATCATCCCTGAAGAAGATCGACTTCTCTTTCTGGAAAAATAATAGAGTGAATAAACTTCTCTTCATGTTCTAGAAGTCTGCGTGAAAAAATTATTGTCGACAAGTGGTGCTCTCACTTTGACCAAACAGATGCAGGGAATTTTCCAGGATGTAGCAAAAACCACAACTCCTCTAAGTCCTCTTATTTTCTATCCGGCAAGTCCTTGAGTGAGTGTGCCCTCACTAAGAGCAGTATGAACCTCAAATTTTGCCTGCCGAATCTTCTCAATGGAATACAACGGGCAAAGGGCAAAGGGCAAAAGGCAAAGACATGCGCACCTGCAAGATCGGGGTGTGTGCGCATTAGCTTCATCCACGCCACTTGGGAGAATCCCTTTTCGAAAGGCACCTTTGATCGCTGAATGGGGGTCCGCTTCGGTGCAGCGAAACCACTGTCCGGTGGAGATGTCACGTCGCCAGAACTTGCGGCTATGCTGTTTATGCTCGACGGCCCCGCCGCCGAGCGTTCCCCCGCTGCCACGGAATTGGAGGACGCTTTCTGCAAAGCACATCGTTCATCTTCAGAATGAGGCTTCTGTTCCTTTCCTGAGCGAGGCTTCTGTTTGTCTTCTGAATGCAGCTTCTGTTCATTTTCTGAACGAGGCTTCAGATCTTTGGACTGAGAAGAAGAAGACGGAGGAGAAGAGACTGTGGTAGAGATCAGTTTATCACAGCCATTTGACTGTTCTTCTAAGGACATCTGGCCAGGGTCAGCTCCCTGTGAGGTTGGCATGGGTGTTGGGGATCCAGGCATGTCATTATTATCTGAGGTACCCAAAATACCCTGCAAGACAAAGGAACAGATGAACGAGCCAGCGGCCAACAACAAGCAAAACCAAAGCAATGACATCAGGTTTCTGTGAGTGTGCAAGAGCTCCGTACCTACCTTCCACAGCGCTTAGACAACGGGAAACTGCATTCTTTCTGTCCATGATCCGATCTCAAGAATCGAAAACGCGCCCTCCCCAATGGAGTTTTCACGCTCAACCAAACAGCTAGGGAAGGCGAGGAAAAACAAATGGAAAGGAGGGGAAAAAGAAAAGGGAAAGACACTGACTTCAAATTCCATATATAATATATATAAGGTTGTACAACAATGTTGTTCGTCTGCAGCTCTTTCTTATTTTGCCCTAATCAATGGGTTTTCCAACTTTCCCTTTTCTGGCATATATGGTTATGGGTTTTCCTTTTCTGGCACGACCTGAGCTGTGACCGCTGATAATAACCTACTGATGATTTATTAATAATCAATCAGTGTTGCACACGCCGACCGTCGGCGACCCCTGACTGGTCGGCTGCCGACCCGCCGACCGGTCACCTGGTCGGCAC